AGTCCTTTTGTTACAGTACAGACTTAATCTTCTTCACATGTAAGTTCTGGATGAGGCAGTAAGCACCACTTAGTAATTAAATGTAACTTTGAGTCACACTATTCCAGAAGTCAGATATACACTAGAACAAAAAAAAAAAAAAAAAAAAAAAAATCTCAGAATAATCCTGTCTCTTCAAAACCCTTTCTCAGGAATAAAATACCACCCTTGTTGATATGCAAACACACCTAATTTCTTAAATGAGTACACAAGTCACAATATTCACTTTTTAAAAGGACAGTTTATGACACGATTTTAAGAAAACATTATCAATGTTTTTAAAGTCACAGTAGCAAGAAGACAGCTATAAATATCTGCAAAACCACTGTAAGAAGTTATATTTGAAATAAATCTTGAATCTGACTGCATTCAATGTAATGACCATCCAGGATGGGAAAGGGAAAGAAGGGGAGGGAGACAGAAATAGATAACCTAATAAAAGAATTACAGGAGTAATCACTTACACAATTCTTTAAAATAAAAACAGGTGCCCAAATAAACATTTAAAATATTACTCCTATCTTTTAACAGTAAATGGGCATAGGTATATAGGCACTAAATTAGCTCCTTAGAACCATTTAAAAAGTTCAACTCTGTAATCGGTAAGTGAGTATAATCACCACCAACTTATGTGGCAACAATTAATCCCATGCTTTGTACAGCAGCCGGTCTTTACAGTAACAGGAGTACCTTCTGATACCTAAAGCACACGCCTGTTATATGACTATTCATACTGAAATTCCACACATTCCAACTGGTCCCTTTTCCCCCCAACACACATGGTACTTTGTAGAAGGCAAGCATCCCAGATCAAGTAAACACAAAAAATTGACAAGCCAATACAAGTTCTGTCCAAACCTGTAGTCATAAAATGCAACAGTTCATTCAAAAGAATGTTACCTCACCTCAAACAGGCCTACAGTAAGAAGAAACCAGGACTGTCATAGGCTTCTAACACAACGTTTTTCATGACCTCTGGACAAAGATAACTATGAATTCATATGGGAAAAATGGGTCAAGAGAGAGGGTCAATAAGCTAGTGGAGCAATTATCATAATTTCAAATGAAAGTTAAGGAGAAGGACAATTCCGATCAGAAATTATCAAACTGCACAAGATTTTTATCTTCATCACCTGTTTTTTTGCTCTTTTTTTGTAACCACATTCATCAGGGCATTGATCTAACCCTGCCCTAAGGGTTGGGAAGTTATCTTGGCATCTTAGTACAGATGACTGAGAAAAATCAAGATACATTTAAGAGCTTCATATGACTCTGTAATGACCTTTTTTTGGCTTATGTGGCAACAAATGATTCAGTCACAGGTAACCTCTCATACTTAAAGAAAGTCGAAGCCTTGATGAACATGGATAAAAAGGAGAAAGAATGCGAATTTTGGGTAGGAAATCCACTGTGAAGCACAAAGACAAACAGCTACTCCTTAAATGTTGCATTAAGCTTGATGTCTGAATACAACTTAATAATTGTTTCAAAATATTTTACTAACACCTTACCACATAGGGTTTCCTTCCACTGAAGTGACAAGAAATTGCTTCCTGTCTACCTGATATGGTCCAATACTTCACACATATCCTTAATAGCTTTTATTTAATTTTAAATCAGTATAACTTAATAACAACTATTCAGTCCAGATGCTTAACATATTTACACCCATCTATCTAGGTGTACCTACCCTTGCAGGTACACACACCTAGAAGGATAATGTGTAGCTGTGATAAGAGAGAAGAATATGAAGGAGGAGCCTGGGTCTGAAGCAAAACAAAACCAACAAGAAAACCCCCAGAAACTGTCTCTTGCTGCTCTTCAGTTC